ATGGTTTAAATTAATAATGTGGAATTGGAAAGTGAAATTTAAAAACAACTTATAATAGAAACAAAATTAAAATATTTAAGAATAAATTTAGTGAAAGATGAACAAGACTTTTACACTGAAAACTATATAACATTCTGAGGGAATTTAAAGAGGAACTAAATAAATGAGGAGATATTCCACATTCATGGTTTGGAAGAATAGTTACTAGTTAGAACAATTTAGGGAGAGTGCCATCTTTAGAGTCAGTGCCTTTCATTCAGAAACTGAGCAGGCTTGCCTGAAGAAATTGACAAGCCAGTTATTAAATTTATTAGCCAAAACAATTTTTAAGAAGTTTAGAGGACTTTTACTACTTGTTATTGAAAACTTATAAAGGCAACAGTAGTCGATTCAGTCTGATCTTAGTATATAGATTTTTAGATCAGTAGAACAGAATAGATTTCCAAAATAGGTGCATATTTCAAAAATATGGTAGATTGATTTTTGACAAATGCATGAAGGTAGATCATTGGTGAAAGAATAATCTTTTCAACAAATTGTGCTGAAACAGCTAAATGCCTTTATAGAAAATAATGAACCTTGACTTTACTTTTCTCTGTGTAAAAATTAAGAGATTTTTGACCTAAACATAAGAGCTAAAAGAGTAAAACTTCCTGAAGAAAACATGGAAAGTTTGTGCCAAAGATTTCTTGAACTGGACACAAAAAGCACAGACCATAAAAGGAAAAAATGATAATGGACTTCATCAAAATTGAAAACTTTTGCTCTTCAAAAAATAGCTTAGAAAATAAAAAAGCAAGTCACAGACTAAGAGGAAATATTTGTAAAACATATATTGATAAAGAGATTATACTCAAAATATATAATACAATAAGGAGATAAACCCACCACCATCAAGTCAGTTCCGACTCATCGTGACCCATTAGGGCCAAGTAGAACTGCCCCATAGGGTTTCCAAGGCTGCCTCGTCTTTTTGCCACGAAGTGGGTGGTGGTTTCAGACTGCCAACCTTATAAAAGTCGGTAAATGATTTGAACAGACACTTCAAAAGAAAATAGCATGAGTACACCCAAAGATACTAGTCATCTAGGAAATTTAAATTAAGACTACAGTTAGCTAGTACTTCACACTCTCTCGTTAGTTGTCAAATCATGTATTCAGACCTCATGTATTCAGAGTAGAATTGCTCCATAGGGTTTTCAAAACTGTGACTTTTTGGAAGCAGATCACCAGGCCTGTCCTCAGAGGCGCCTCGGGGTAAGTTCCAACTGCTTACCTTGGAGCTAGTAGTCAAGCCCTTAACTGCAGCATTCAAAGACTCCTCACATTATCTAGAATGAATAAAATTAAAATTACTGATGATATCAACTATTGGGGACGATATAGAACAACTGGAACTCTCATATATTGCTGTGGAAATGTAAAATAGTACAGGCACTTAGGAAAACAGTTTGGCAGTTTCTGATAAAGTGAAATATACATTTAACATATGACCCAGCAATTCTCCTCTGGGTATTTATACATAGAATGTTTAAAGTAGTAGTACTTAGAACAAATTGGAAATAATCTAGATGTCTGTCTGGTGATTAATCAATTTAAAAAAAGTGTATCCATATTGTGAGATACTATTCAGCGATACAAAGGAAAAAACTATTGATAGAATAATATGGGTGCATTTCAGAAACCACATGGTGAGTGAAATAAACACAAAAGTATATATGCTATATGATTCCATTTACATGAAATCCTAGAAAAGGCCAATGAGTCAGTTGTTACCTTGGGCCCAGAATTAGGACAAGAAATTGGCTGTAAAGAGAAAGGAAGGCACTTTTTGAGGTAATGGAAATGTTGCCTTGATCATGGTGATGGTAGTGCTTACATGACTGCATACAATTGTGAAAGATCATCAACCTATACATTTAAAATGGGTGAGTTTTATTATGTCTCACCAAAGTTGATGGAGAAAAGAAACCATATTCATAGAAAATTTTTGTTATTATGTGTATGTATTTAAACTTTTCAGTAGATCCAAATGGATTACTTGAAATTAAGCTCCAACTTGTTTAAAACAAGTCACACATGTTAAAAAAAAAATGTTTGCTAAAGGGACAAAGGAATAGAGCCAATAGGGGTGCTATTTTAGATGAAGTGTTCAGCGGAGGCTTTTCTGATGAAGGGACATTTGAGCAGATCCTGATGAAGTAAGTTCAAAGAAGTCTTCTCATATGTGTCTTGCACATTTCTTACTAAATTTATGTCTGGGTGTTTTCTGTTACTATTACAAATGGAATCTTGTCTTATTTCATTATGTAAGAGTAATCCTTAAGTTTAATTGTATGTATTATATGATATTGTATATATTATATACTATATTATATATTAAATATACACAGTGTGTATTTAATCCCTTGTTTTTTGAAATTTACAGAGTTCTGAATTTGATTACAAAAAAAGAAGCATAATCTTTAAGTTTTGTTTGCATCTTAATTTGCCTTATAATCTCCCATTTTGTTGTCAATTCCTTGAGGACAGTCAAATCTTAAACTTTGTAACCCTGTAGCTTCATTGTGTGCCATGTTCGTAGCATGTGCTTATTTAATACATTTTAACGGTTTTTACTGAGATTAAGCAATTCATTGCTGTGTTTTACAAGCTATGTTTGTCCTAGCTCAGTATAGCACCAAAATGTAAGTAGAACCTAAACAAAAAGACCTAAAGTGGAAAATCAAAGATAAATGTATGATTTCATATAACATAATTTTAATTTTACTGCCAAAAGAGCAGATACAGAGTGCAAATAAGGATGTTGGCTGGGACTTTAAAGGCATCCGGGTGGGTGAAAGAGGTAGAAGAAGTAGAAGAAGTTATTCTTGTTCTTACACATTAAGAGAGGATGTCTGGAGGAGAGCACCAGCAGTTCATTCTGGTTTGATCCCCTGCTAGAATTTGCCTTTCTACCCCAGATATACTGAATCAGGATCGTCATTTAACAAGATTGCCAGGTGATTCTTATAGATATTACATATAGGAATCTCTTGGGGATCTTGTTAACTGTAGATTCTGATTCAGTATATCTGGGATGGAAAGGCAAATTCTCTGCAGGGAGACAAACCAAAATGAACCATTTCGAAGTCTTGGTCTAGAAGCAGTTGATTGGTCAGGTACTGATTAGAAATGGATGTCTTGGCAAGAGTTACTATTTCATTAAATAAGAGTAGTATTTCATATTTTATGGCTGTCTTCACTTGGTCTGCTTTAGATAAAGCAAAATATCTGAAACATACTTGAGTGACTTGAGGGGCTGAGCATCATCTATCAAAATGGAAACATTAGTAGTTCATGTTCATTCCTTGCCAGTAGATGGCAGCAAAATGCTTTGTAAAAATGTTCCTGCCCCTCCCCTTTTTTTAGTCACAATAGTGTATGTGTGTGCGTGCGTGTGTGTGTCTATATATGTGTGTGTGTGTGTGTGTGTATATAT